TCCATGGAGAAATGGGAAATGGGGGGATTTAAGAGATTATTGTGCATTTTTTTATCATCGGTCTCTGGTCTGGCCAGCCTTGTGGTATCAATGTTTTCTTCAGCCTAATTCTGACTAGGAATGAATTCCCTCACAGCCTGTAACTGGAACAAAGCTGACATGTGAGGCACATCCCCAGTGGCTCCATGACAGGTGTCCCTGTCCCTGCTGTCCCACCGGATCTGCTGACCTTGTGGAGCACAGGAAAACCAACCCCAGGTGCTCTCACATGGCCACGAGCACAGGGGGGACCTGCCAGGGGCTGCCCTGTGTTTGTCACAGCACGTGGGGGACACAGGAACGCAGCTGGGACCTTGGAAAAAAGGATGGAGATGGGTTTGTTTGCTTCCAGGCTGGCAAAGCAGAACTTCCTGGATGTGCATTTCTCCCCCAGCTGCTGCCTGCCCTCGTGGGCTGCTTGTGCCCTGCAGTGACATCTGAAGGGGTGAGTCCTGCTCCATAACCTGCTCAGGTTTGTTTTCCTGCTGACATTCCTGCCTGTAAGGAATTTAGAGCCCACCAGGTCCTTCAGGATCCCTGCTCAGAGCAGCTGGGGCTCCATTCAGAGCTGTGACAGGCAGTGGTGGAGCCAGGACAGGGAGCAAAGGCAGCTCTCAGGGCACTCACACTTTAGATCAGGATTTTTGGAGTGACTTTGGCCAAACCTTTTTAATCGTGCTGGACTCTGTTGTGAAAGGGGCCCTGAGGCCATTCCTGAGTGCTGGCCCAGAGCTGGGCAGTTCAGTCCTGCCGCAATCACATGGCTGCTGTAAAACACACGGGCACGACATTCCACGAGACATTCCATGATCCAGCACAGCTCAGTGCTCAACTCCTTCCTTTCCAAACATTTTTGTTGCCTTTGCTACCTGCTCCCTGCAATTGGAAACCCAATTTCCTGCCCTTTCATCCTCTGCTTTTTTGATCTCAGCCTCGCTGGTGGGGGTTTTATCTATTTCTGTTTGCTTGTCTCAGGCAGCTTTTGTCCCCTCACTTCCACTTCCTGAGGCTGCAGCTGGGGAGCAGTGAGGTCACATTTAGGTGCACGTGGTTTTTGGGGAGGTGAGGGAAGAATGGAGGCTCCATCTCGGGGGAGGGATGGATTTTCCGAGTCAGGAAGGAAAGATGAAGGTGGAAGCAGAGCCTTGCAGCCAGGTTTGTTTGGACAAAGGAGAATGGAGGCTGGGCTGGAGGGAGGGTTTGGAACTCCAGTCCCAGCTGGAACGTGGAATTTGGGCTGTGGCTGGAGCTGGGTCGTGTCTCTGGATGTCTCAAGTTTTCCATGAGGTTTCTTTGCTGGTGAAGGTCCTGAAATGACCCCAAAGGTTCCTCATCCCTTGAAATCCCAGAATCCCAGGACAGTTCGGGTTGGAAGGGACTTTAAACTCATTTGTTCTGCCATGGGCAGGGACACCTTCCACTGTCCCAGGCTGCTCCAAACCCCATCCAGCCTGGCCTTGGGCACTGCCAGGGATCCAGGGGCAGCCACAGCTGCTCTGGGCACCTGTGCCAGGGCCTGCCCACCTTCCCAGGGAGGAATTCCTTCCCAAAATCCCATCCATCCCTGCCCTCTGGCAGTTTAAAGCCATTGCCCCTTGTCCTGTCACTCTCAGCCCATATAAAAAGTCCCTTATCAATGCTGCTTTCTCCAGTCATCTGTCCTGTTCTGCTCCACAGGTTCCAGGCATCCTCTTCTCCCAAAAGCACCAAATATTCCAGGAAAACACCTCGCTGTGCCCAGTTCTTGATGGGAGCAGACAGAACTGAAACAGCAGAGCCACAGCTTGGGGTCACAATGCATCCCTGCCCTGTTTCTGCTTCTGTTTCCTTAGGGAGTGAAGTCAGCAGCTCCAGGTCCCTGCATCCATGTGGGAATGTGGCTCCCAGTGCCCTCCCCTTCCCCCCACACACGTCCCCTGTCCCAGCCACCCTTATTGGCCCAGAACGTGTCTCCAAGGCCTGGAGCTGGGGTCACATCATCACCCTGAGCAATAACTCGCTGCTGAGGTTTCCTGGGAGGAAAGGAAAGGCAGGAAGGAAAAACAACTGCTCAAAATTTCCACTCATGACAAACAAAAAAAAAAA